GGGCGGGGCGGCGGGCGCAGCGGCGCGGGCGAGCGCAGAGCGGGGCACCCGGCTGAGGAGTTGCCACGTCCACCGAGGCTCCGGCCTCGCTCCCGCCGGCCTCCCCCGCGTCCTCCGGGGGTCCCCACCTTTAAAGGGATCTGAACCGGCCCCCAGAAGTCAGCCGGTCTGGCCGCCGCCACTTTCGGGGCCGGGATAACCCTGAACTAGGCGGAGCCACACGCGCGCGCTCCTTCCTTCTTTCCTTTCTTTGCTTTTCCCATTTCTCTTTTCTTTCCTCCTTTCCTTCTTTTTTCTTTCCTTTCTTCTTTCTTTGATTCTTTGATCCTTCCTTCCCCTTTCTTTCTCCCCCCCAAGTCTGCTCATTTGGAAATCACACAAATTGAGAACTTTCTAGGAAGGTTCCTTTAAGATTCTTGAAGAACCAAAGAAACCTGTTTTGGTTTTGTTTGTTTTAAAGGCCAAGAGACTCTCCAGACTGTCTTCATTTTCTTAGGGCATTTTCTCTCCCACTCCCAACCCCTTAAGTTATTGTTAACACTTTACTTTAAAATGAGCAACGTTCTATGTTCCAACACCAGATGTTCCCAGTTCCTGAGCAAACCAACAAAAATAGGCAGGCATTTTCTGATGATACGACAAAGAGGCCAGCAACCTGCTTACTTCAGAGAAAACCTTTCCTTCCATCACTGCAAATGATGAAATTATTTCTCTGCCAGATGTTTCCTACATTTCTAAACTTTTTAATTTTAAGATTTAGTTTTAAATTCTGATTTAATCTTCACAGATGTGAGAACTTAAAACTTCTCAGCAAGGATGAATCAGTATCTATAGTAGTTCAAGAAGTAGTTAATTAGGAATCCATTGATTCATTTATTCAACAAATATTTAATCAATGCCAACTGTGTACCAAGCACCATTTTAGGATTCAGAGGCAAATTAGCCTGATAAGGGCCCTGTCTGCCTTCACAGGGCTTTCACAGAAGAAAAGGAGACAGAGATTAAACAAGCAAATGAAAAGTATCAGACACAAAGGCCACAATGAAAATAACAGTGATGTGATAGTAACTGGGGACTATTTCAGGTTAGGTGGTTAAAAGAGGCCTCTCCAAGGAGGTGCTGGTTAAGTAAAGAGAGAGGGTGAGGAGCCAGACATGAAAAGATCTGAAGCCCATTACAGTTGGAGTGAAGAGAGCCAGATGGTCTGAAATTCTGAAGTAAAGATAACCTTCGCTTCCCATGAACAGGTGAGCAATGAAATGGATGTTGGAAGTGTGGGCACAAGCAATCAACTTGATAGAGGGTAAAAAGAGATCACAAATTTAGAGGTTTTGAGTTTGCCAGCACACTAGGAGCTAAAGCTCAAGAGGGTGGGAACCACTGCACCCTGAGAGCCTAGTTCTGTATGTGGCGCAGGTATGTGGGATGGATGGATGGATGGATGAAGTATAGACCAAAAAAATACGGAAACACTCTAGACCACCAAAAGACGTTTACCCTGAAAAACCTCAGTCATTCTGAAGTGTGTTGTTCCTGATTTAAGAATCTCCTTTTTTTGATTTCTCAACATCTGGAGCCATGATTTAAAGTTTTTATTTTCTGGTAATTATACATAGCAATAAGATATCTGCTTGAAATGTGTTTGTTCATGGCAAATGCTATCTGTGAGAACGCAACACCTTTGTTGCTTGAATGAATTAGTTAATGTTTAATTAAACAGCACCAAGGTAATCTGTTTAGAAACATGAAGTGCAGGAAACAATTTAGTGGGGGAAGTAATATCCAAATGTTTTCGACTTGACTCAAATTCTGTGAGTCAAAGCAAAGTTGGAAAAGACTGATGGTGTTAGTTGAAGTGTTAGTCTTTAACTTAAAAAACAAAAATTGAGACATAATTACTTTGTTGTTCTAGTGTGTTGAGCTGTTTGTGCCTTTTCTCATCACACGGTTTTTCATACTCAGGTAGCAACCTTCACACTGAAAGAGTTATTACAGTAAACTGATGATGTGACATCAGTTTATCATTTTGCAACATAAGACATGTTTTTCTCTATTATCTGACATACAGTTGGTACTGGACAAGTAAACCCCATCTCTCCCCCAGAGGCAGGAGTTTATGAAGAAGCACAAAGAGGATCAGGTTGGAGTCTGAAAGCCTGGGTTCTTGCTTTAGCCATTCCCCTAACGGAAAGTTTGTGATTTCAGACAGCACCTTTAACCTCCTGCTTCATTTATTCATTGGTAAGTGATAGATAATTACCGAGGACCCCTCCGTCTCTTTCTGCATTGTATGCTTACCTACGAAGTTTCATCTCTTCAATTATGTTTAAAAACACAGTAGAACAGAAGTCAACTTCTCAAACTAGTAACATGTCTTAATCAAGTCCAGCAGTGTTGAGTGGATGTGGACCAAAGAAGACGGAAATCCCGGTTCTCACAGAGGTGGAGTGTCACGCAATCTCACGTTCCGCGCGCTCCTGTCGTCTGTTTAAGGTATTGAGATGAAACAGAACACTCTGTTTTAACTCCAAGACTCAGGCATGAAGGTGGGCTTTGTTCTCTACAGGATGGGAGGGACACCTTACTACACACATCTGCACAGTTTGATTGATTATTGGTTAATTTTACAAAAACTGGTATAATTATTATAACAGTATTTTGAAAAGTCAAGTGAGGCAAAATGAATAAGAAAAGCGTTGCCCTCTAGAAGGTCTCAGGCTAGGAGCCCAAAGGCAAAGAAAACAAAGTGACCACCAGCCTCAGGGACAGAGCTTGGGAAAACCTTGTGAGACGCTGACTCAGGAAGACACTAAGAAGGTGCCGCGTAGAAGACCGGGGCAGCTGCTGCTGCTGATGGGAAACCACGGACACAAAAGCTTTTCTGGGAAACGCAGTTTGGGTTAGTTGGTCGACAGCTACAGATAATAGTTGAGTCAGGAAACCATCTGGATAATTTAAAGCCCCTGAGTCCTGACTCCTAACTCACGAAGACTCCACAGGGGAAAAACAAGAACACCCCCACAAGCATCAGAAGGCCTGAGCGTCTCTCAGTGAAGGTCTGTGTAGATTAAGGTTTGAGGCAGATAGTTGGCAGGCGCTCCATCTCTGAGCCTCCGTATCGGAATTTTTAAAGTAGTGAGGTTGTAATAAGTACATTTACTATCTCTGTTACAGCTAAAACTTTATTAGGTTAAACATTAGAAACATTATGTGAAACATTAGCCACCTATTTTAATTTTTGCTGTAACTTGAGCTTAACAGACATCCAGCATCCTAACATTATTATATGGGTATTTTGTGTAAGCAGTGGGATTACACGGCTTCATTTAGGACAGGTCATGTTGGACTAAATTAACTTCTCTTTCGGTAGAGTAATTAGAATGCTTTCAATAAACTATTGACCAAGGGCATCGTGTAATATATTTGACAGCAAGATTAACAAGTATGGACTGGGTAATAGAGGAGTTGGAGGTCGGTTGAGAATACTGCTCAGTTATGGGGTGCTGTCACCCAGGCTCAGTAAATCCAGACATATAAAGAATGGACAGAGATGCCATTATACATATTTTCCTATCACTGGAGGCATTCAAATACAGCCTGGACCTCAATTTTCTACATATGCTGTAAAGTGAATGAATATTAACTGTGGTAAATTCAATGAACACCAAGATCCTTTAAGTACAAAATTCAAAAATTATCTCCAGGGATCCAAAATGCACAGCTGATAAAAATCAGTATCTATTCCTAATGTATGTTTTTTAAAAAACAGTAAACTAAGAATAACAGACACATCATTACTATGGTGAAGAATACCTATTTCAAATAAAACCAACATGGAGAAATACCAAAGATGATTCCACTGATATAAGAAATAAAATAAAGGTGTCACTATACATTACTATTACTCATGAACTAAGAACTACAATAAGCTAAATAAAACATAATAGGACAAGTCTGAAAAGAATCTAAATCTATTAGTTGACAGATGACATAATTCTTTACTGTAAAAAAATTAGATTTTTAACTGAAATTACTAAACCAAAGAGTAAGAAATGTGTTTGGAACAATGTTAGAGTATAAAGGTAAACAGAAAATTCCGTAGTTTTCCTGTATGCTAGCAATAGCCAGTCAAAATATAGTAAAGTCTACAAAATATAAAATAAATTGAAATAAATTTAACCAAGAACTGTAAAACCCATATAAAGAAAACTATAAACTTAAAATGAGTCAAAGTCTACACAAATTATAGTTTGATAGTTTGATGAGACTGGTGTTAAATGTATAATTTGGGTATAATGTATTTTCTTTTTTAAAAGACTTTGTCAGAGAGAGAGAGAGAGAGCACAAGCAGGGGGAGCAACAGAGGGAGAAGGAGAAGCAGGCTCCCCGCTGAGCAGGGAGCCCGGATGCGGGGCTCGATCCCAGGACCCTGGGCAGATGCTCAATCAACTGAGCCACCCAGGCGTACCTAGAATGTAGTATTTTCAATATTGTCTTCCCCTATAGGGACAGGTTTTCTCTATTATTTATTTTTTCTAAGAATAAATGTGACAAAAGCAAGTAAATTCATTTTTAGAAAGCAGGAAAGGAACTTGCTCTATAAAACATTAAATGATTTAGTAAAACCACAATAAATAGATGGATATTCACAAAATAGAAACATTAAAAGAATATAATAGAAAGTTCAGTCAGAGGTTTAAGGATATAAAAGATTTTATGGTAGGATAAAGGACATATCTTAACTCATTGGAGGAAATGAAGTCATACTGAATAAAGGGAAGAAGGTAAGAGATTTCGGTCTCCACCTTAGCCATAAAATAAATGCAATGCATTAGGAAATTGAATAATCTTTTTTTTTAAGATTTTGCCCATTTATTTGAGAGAGAGAGAATGGGAGCATGGCGGGGGGGAGGGCCAGAGGGAGAAGCAGGCTCCGCACTGAGCAGGGAGTCCAACGCAGGACTCCGGGACTCAACCCTGGAACTCCGGGATCACTCCATGATCAGGACCCAAGCCAAAGGCAGTAGCCCAACCAAATGAGTCACCCAGGCGCCCCAACTGAATGTAGTCTTAAAAACCATAAAACCTCTAGAGAAAGATTCAGGTGAACTTTATTTTTTTAATGTGTAATCTTCAGGTGGATAATGCCATTCTAAGCCTTCACCAAAAGCTGAAACAATAAAAAGACTTACAGGATTGAGTAATAAAAGCAAAAACTTACAACTGTGTGTGTATTAAATTTTATATATATATATACACACACACACAAAACCTTTGAGAGTTGAGCATACGCCACCCACCCAAACCACTTTATGCCGGAGGTGTTCACAGAAGATGAGCTGAAAGTTCCAGCTTTCCTATGGGCTCATGGCTCCTTCGGCACAACGCCTCTCTTAAAATTTAGAAAATGTCTTTCCATTTGATTCCAGTCAGCTTCATGTGCCAATAATTACACACATGGGGGGGTTGCGTTTCTTAGAGTCGCTGTGCTCAGTTACATTCTGACACCACTCTCCGTCCCTCGCCTCCCCCAGCTGCAGCCCCTCGCCCTCGGGGCGCCTCAGCCCTCCCCCAGCTGCAGCCCCTCGCCCTCGGGCGCCTCCACCTGGCGGGGTGCAGCCGGAGCCCCCGGACTGCTGGGTTCTACCCGCGAGCAGCGCAGCCGCACCGTGGACCGCACGCCGATGACCAAGGCCACATTCCCGGACCCCTGAGGCGCCGGGACACTCACGACGTGATGCGTCACTGTGCCGGGGCGAGAGCCCGTGCGCCCCGCGCCCCCCTGCCCTGACGACCCCCGCCCTCGGCCACGGTGCTCGCAGACTGGCCCGCAGGGTTCAAAGCGCATCTTTTTCTCGCGCTGAGCTGCCACCCGCAGCCCCACAGCCCCTGCTGCGAGTGTTCCTACTTTTAGCGGCTCTTTGCCGCGAGAAGCCCCTCAGGTGTGTGGTCTGTGCTCCCGGACGGGGTGCGCGCACTCCTCGTCAGTCCCCACCCGGCGCCCGGAAAACATTTACTCCTGTTCGTGTGTGTCCAGAGCCGCGCCTCGGCCAGGTACTGACTTCCGTGACGGCCGTGAAGACGGTCCGTGCGGAAGGGCGCGGGGAGGTCGTGACCCCCGGACGACCCCGAGCTCCATCCGGGCACCCCGCGGCCCCCCCCGCCGCACACCCCGGCCCCACCTGGCGGTGTCGGTCCGCAGGCGGGCGTCTGAGGAGCGAGCGCCGCTGAGGCCTGGCGGCGAGCCTTCCCGGCCCCGCGGCACGTGCGGTGCGGACACGCGCCGGGCGCCCAGGAGCCTGCAGGTGAGTGTCCTTCTGGTGTCCCCCCGTCTGTCTGCGGGCCTCGTGTCCAGATTTCACCCGGAAGCTGCTGAGCTTTCCAGCCAACAGCTTCGTGGTGACGGAACAATCTGTTAGAAAGTTCAGTCAGCAAGCAAAGCGCGTGCGGCGTTAATGATCTCCCGGTTTCCTTCAGTATCCAAACTGCACGGTAGGTACCTCGTTCTCATCACAGCATTTTGTGGATAATATTTCTAAGGGGTAAATTAATATTTACATACTCTAACTCAAAAGAGCATTTTAAACACAATTGTATGTTATGTATATCGATACAATTTCAAATACAATTGGTGGAACGTTGTCAAAAATCACAAGTAGATTGTTTTTGTTGAGAAGCAGAAAGTTTATTGTGACAGGATTTGGTTTTGCTGTGACAGATGTGTGGTTTTATGTCTTAAAATTTTTATTTTGAAACAATTTCAAATGAAAGCTTACAGAAAAGTGTCTAGAAAGCGGAAAGAACTCACACCTACCTTTCACCCAAATTCACCAATTGTTATATTTTTATTTATATCTCATAGTTGGTACATCATCGTCTCTCTATACAGATACCATTACGTTTTTTTCTAGTCCGTTGATAGGAAGTTGAAGATTTCATACCCTTTTACCCCAAAATATCTCAATGTGAATTTCCTAAGAACAAGGATAATCAGATACAGCTATCATAACCAGAAATTTCAACATTATACAATTCTCTTATCAATCTTCTGTTCTTAATCTGATTTTGCACATTATTCCAAGAATGTCCTTTTTGGCACTTTTGTTTGTTTGGTCCAGGACCTAGTTCCGGCTCACACGCTGCGTTCACACGGCAAGTCTGTCTCGTCCCTTTTGATCTGGAACAGTCTTCACGGGGGCATTGGCATTTTGATGGCATGGGTCAGGTATTTCTGTGGAACGGCCCTCAGTCTGGGTTTGTCTGGCATGTCTTCATCATGAGGTAGAAGTTCTACGTGCCGGCTAGGAGAACCACAAACAGGATGTCATGCCCTCCTCCGTGGATGGTGTCCAGAGGCCTGTGATGTGACCGCATCTGTGATGGTGGGTGCTAACCCTGCTCACCTGGTTAAGGGGCTATGCTCCTGGTTTCTACTGTCAAGTTATTGCTTACCTTTGTGATTAATAAGTAATACAAGAGTGATACTTGGAGTCTGTGTAAATAAATACCTTGTCCCTAGCCAAACTTACACCCACGAGTTTTAGCATCCATGGATGATGCTTGCTTGAAGCAATTATTACTATAGTGGTTACAAAACAGTGGTATTTCTAACGTCATCATGCCTTCTATATTCATATGTTGGCATTCTACTATAAGAAGGACCTCTTCTTTCCCTTCCATCTGCTCATTCATTTTTCATGAACTCAGGTATTTTATTCAAAGTGTTATTATCCATTATCATCATTATTTATTTTGATGTTCAAATGGTCCTAGATTTGGCCCCTTTTTGTGGGTCTCTTTAAAATCATTACTCCAGGGCACCTGGGTGGCTCAGTCAGTTGAGCGTCTGCCTTCGGCTCAGGTCATGATCTCAGGGTCCTGGGATCGAGTCCCGCACCGGGCTCCCTGCTCAGTGGGGAGTCTGCTTTCTCCCTCTCCCTCTACCTGCCGCTCCCCCTGCTCTAGCTCTCTCTCTCTGACAAATAAATAAATAAAATCTTAAAAAAAGATCAAATCATTACTCCGTATCAGTTTATAAAGATTCTCTTCAGTCTTTTTTTTTTTCCTGGATAGATGTGCAGTACTGCATTATACAAATCAGGGACTGGCAAACCATGACTCCCTGGCAAAATCTGACCCACCATCTATTTTTGTAAATGAGGTTTTATTGGCACAGAGCATACGTACATTTGTTTACACACTGTTTATGGCTCCTGCAACCACAGAGTTAAGCACAGAGCAACAGAGACAGTATGGACCCCAAACTACAGTCTGGCCCTTTAAGAAAAATTGGCTGTCCCTTGGTGAAAATGAATCATAATTTGTTCAAACAATATACAATGTATTGTATACGTCATACATTCAATATACAGTGAATAACCTTATACACATGTATTTTCATACTGTTGGAGGCACATCTTCAGGGTAAATTCCTAGAAGGAAAACTGATAGATCAAAAGCAAATCCAGAGTTTCTGAGTTTCTTGAATCTTTATGTTTTGTGCCTCAGTATACTTGGATAAAACTTAGGAGATTATGTGTTCAAATACTTTTTTCTGACCCGTCCGCTCTTCTCCTTCCCAGACTTCAGATGTGTGTTATTCTATACAGTATCGTCCCACAGATGCTTAAAGCTCTGCTTATTTTCTTTCAATCTTGTTTCTTTTTCTTGAGGTGAGATGTTCTCTGTTGGTCTGTCTTTATGTTCTCTGTTCTTTTCCTCTGGCATCTGAATTCTGCTATTAAAACCATGCAATGACTTTACTATTTCAGATGCTGTGTCATCCTACCATGTCTCTATCAACACTTCCCTTCAGCATCCGTAGCTGTCGCAGCCGCTTTGAAACCTTTGTCTGCTCATCCCCGGCTGCATCATTCCCGTGCATTATCTTTCCCTTAGAGATGGGTCACATTTTCTTGGTTCTTTACTTCCTGATTAATTTTGGATTGTATCCTGGGAAGACTGGAATATTAAGTTTTGGAGACTCTGGAAAAGTCTGATATTTTTTCTTTCGAAAGCAATTTATTTGACTGAAATTAAATTGTAGACTCCTTCTCTCCTGTTTGCAGCTCAAATTTCAGGTCAGTTCCTGTATATTTAGTTGTCATTGCGTCTGTCCCTTTATGCATGGTTCAACGGCCAGCCAAAGTCTTGGCCACCGTTTACTCACATAATTTGAGACTCTCCCTCCTTTGGCTCTCTTTCCAGGAATCTCCCGTGACTTCCCTGAAATTGCCCTGACTTCAGTCCTCGACTCCACAGGCCATAAACACCATAGAACACCGGGGAACTTACCCATCCTACTTGCTAGCTACTGTGGCCTGTCCGCAAATAAGAGCTATTAAAGGCAAAACTTGGCCCATGTGGGCCTCTTCCAAGTTTTCTCTCAAGAAATCCCGACTAAAGTGTTCATTCACTCTCAGTGCCTCTGTGTATGTTTTGTATTGTGCCAGAGTTAATCATTGTTACACATGGCAAGTTTGAAGCGTACAGAATTTAATCTGTGATATAGAAGGAGGCATTTCATAGTTGAACTGGGAAAAGCCAAAGACAAGCAGATGACCTTGAAGGAAGCCAGTGGAACATGGCGCATTATTCATAGGGAAACGGCTGTTCAATGAAGGGAGGATTCTTCCCTTGGGGGAGCCAGAGAATAGTGGCGCATCTGAATCTTACCAAATCAGGATTTTGAGTCATAGTTATGTGTAAGGAGAGTTAACCCTTCTTAGTACTTGTATGATTTTATGTCTATATATCTGGTTGTGTATGGTGTGAGAGATGGATTCCCTTCTACCTTCTGTCTATCTATCCACTCACCCCAGCAACATCTATTAAAAACTCCACTCTTTCCCAGGCTTGCTACCACATTCATCACAGATTCACTTTCCATGTGTATTTGGGCCTCTGTCCAGACTTGCTATTCTATTCCAATAATATATTCACTTATTCATATATGAGTTCCATACTGTTTTAATTAGAGGATTTATGATATATTTTAATATATTGTCCAGCTAGTCCCTTTTCTTAGCTTTTCTCTTCTGTATTTTCCTAGCTATTCTTGTATGCTTATTTTTCCATATAAACTTTGTATCAACTTTTCTAATTCCATAAAAAAAATGCTTGCAGGTATTTTTATTGAGATCACATTAAATTTATAAATTAATTTAAGCAAACCTGACATATTTGCAATTCTGAGTTTTCATATCTAAATACAAGGGTTGTTTTTTATTTATTCATATCTATTTTTGTGTCTTGCAGACTTGTTTTAAAGTTTTTTCCATGCTAAGCACTTTCCTAAGTTTAAACATTTTTATCCTCTTATTTTAAATATGGTTAATGTTCCATTGTATTATCTAAATAGTTATTTTGCTTACAAGAAGTCCATTAATTTCTATGTTCTTTTTATGTCTGGATACCTTACTGAATTCTTTTCTTGTTTTAGTTTATCACACATAATTTAGAGTTTTCTAGGAATACCATCATATCATTTGAACTAGAGATAGCTGTTCTATTTTTTTTAAATTCCTATGACTGCAGTTGTTTCCTATTGTCTAATCTCATTGGTTAACACTACCAGCGGACTGTAAAATAGTAGATTAAATATATACACATATGTAACTACATACAAGTGTGTGTGTGTGCGCATAAGAAAATATCCTCAATTCCTGTTTCCTGGAGGTTTCTTAATTTTTTTTTTTAAAAGAGGGTTTTCAAGCAACTATGGAGATAATCATATGATTTTTCTTCTTAGATTTATTAGTATCTTAATGGATATCTTACTACTGAACCATTTTTGCAGTACCAGAATAGATCCCAATTGATCATTATATATTACTTTCTAAATATGCATGATTTTGCTTACTAATATTTAGGATTTTTGCACCAATGTACACAAGAGATACTGATCTGTGACATTTTTTGTGCTATAAAAGTAGATGTTTTGAAGAACATTCAGTGTCAACAAAGGGGATGTTTATGTGAGATAGTTTTGGTGCTGAAAGAAATTATGTTACTTTTTACAAGGCAGATATTGGTTAACAAATTAATTAGGTGTTTGGTGATTAGGAAGTTATGTTTCGAACATTTTATACCATAACATGTTAGTTTATAAACAGTACAGATGGTTATGAGTAAGTTCTTTACTGTGTTTTAGTGACATTTTTAGGAAATTGAGGGTTTGGCATTAATATGAATGTATTATAATTTCTTTTTTCCGTTTAAAATAGGCTCCTTACTAATAAGTGACATTTTGCATAAAGTGTCATTTTCGCATGGACGTAACACTGATATTAAGCAGAAATTGCTTGTATAACAGTTCTCAATAATAAGACCTCAATGCATAAAGCAAGAAGTAAAAGATCTACGAACAGAAGTACACAATCTCAGAGATATTAACAGGTCTCTTTTCATATTTGATATGGGACATCTTTATTTTTTAAAAGATATAAAAGCTTTGAACAGAATTGGCAAACGTGACCTAGTAGTTGCATATACAATAGCACATTGTAGCCGGGACCAGCAAACTGGGCCAGATTGTGCCTGTGCACTGTTTCTGAATGAAATGTGATCTAAGAATGGCTTTTACATTTTAAAGCAGTTGTGAAAAAAATAAAAATAAGGACAAATGTGCTACAAAGACCCCATGTGGCCCACAAAGCCTCCAATAGGTGTTATTTGGCTATTCACAGAGGAAGTCTGCACTAGACAGACTACGAAATACACTCTTCATAAGTACACCCAGATCATGAATCAACATTTAAAATTGTCCCGTAAAGAAAACAGTGCAAATGACTTCACTGGAAAATTGTACCAAACATTTTGAGAAGCAATGAATCCAATCTTAAACCAACTTATCCACAGAACAGTAAGAGAGGGTATGTTTTCCAATTACTGTTATAGGAGCAATATAGTCCTTTTTATTTATTTGGGAAAGAGAGAGCGAGCCTGTGTGCAAGCGAGCATGGGGAGGAGCAGAGGGGGAGGGAGAGGGACAAGCAGACTCCACGCTGAGTGCAGAACCCAAGTGGGGTTTGATCTCAGCACCCTGAGATCATGACCTGAACCAAACCAAGAGTCAGATAGATGCTTAACCATCTGAGGCACCCAGGTGCCCCAGGAGCAACACAGTCTTAATATTAGAAACAGAGAAAGACATGTATCATATGATCTCATTGATATGAGGAATTCTTAATTGCAGGAAACAAACTGAGTGTTGTTGGAGTGGGGGGTGGGGTGGGAGGGATGGGGTGACTGGGTGATAGACACTGGGGAGGGTATGTGCTCTGTTAAGCGCTGTGAATTGTGCAGGACTGTTGAATCTCAGATCTGTACCTCTGA